ATTTTAACCTTAAGAGAAGATGGAGAGCTCTCTTTTTGCATTTTCCTAGGGAAACACAGTATAGGCAGTCAGGAGGTCAGCCCCCAACCTGTACTGGTGCATGGGGTTATTCCTCCCCAGGTGCAGTACCCTACACTTACCCTTGTTGAACTTCATAAGGTTTCTTTCTGCCCAACTCTCCAGCCTGGCGAGGTCACGCTGTAAGGCAGCACAGCCTTCTGGCGTGTCAGCCACTCCTCCCAGTTTTGTGTCATCAGCAAACTTGCTGATGGTACACTCTATCCCTTCATCCAGATCATTGATGAATATGTTGAACAAAACTGGGCCCAGTACTGACCCCTGAGGGACACCACTTGTTACTAACCTCCAACTAGACTCTGCGCCACTAACCACAACCCTCTGAGCTCTATCTGTGAGCCAGTTCTCAATCCACCTCACCGTCCATTCATCTAAGCCACACTTCCTAAGCTTTCCTGTGAGGATGATGTGGGAGACAGTGTCGAAAGCCTTGCCAAAGTCAAGGTAGACAACATCCACTGCCCTCCCCTCATCCACCCATCTAGTTACTTTGTCATAGAAGGCTATCAGATTAGTCAGACATGACTTCCCCTTGGTGAATCCATGTTGACTACTTCTGATAATCTTCTTTTCATCCAGGTGCTTTGAGATGACTCCCAGAACAAGCTGCTCCATCATCTTCCCAGGGATGGAGGTGAGGCTGACCGGCCTGTAGTTTCCCGGGTCATCCTTCCTGCCCTTTTTGAAGACTGGAGTGACATTGGCTATCCTCCAGTCCTCAGGCACCTCACCTGTCCTCCAGGACCTTTCAAAGATAATGGAGAGAGGCCCAGCAATGACTTCCCCCAGCTCCCTCAGCACCCGAGGGTGCATCCCATCAGGCCCCATGGATTTATGTATATCCAATTTATCTAACTGATCTTTAACGTGCTCCTTGTCAACCAAGGGATAGTCTTGTTTCCCCCAGACTTTCTCTGTTACCTGCAAAGTCTGGGTCTCACAAGGACTGGCCCGAACAGTGAAGACAGAAGCAAAGAAGGCATTTAGCAACTCCGCCTTCTCTGCATCATCCGTCACCACAGCACCTGTCTCATTCAACAACGGGCCCACATTTTCCCTAGTTTTCCTTTTGTCTCCTATATACTTAAAGAAACCCTTCCTGTTGGCCTTGACATCCCTCGCCAGGTTCAATTCCAAGGCTGCCTTGGCTTTCCTTGTTTCCTCCCTGCATACCCTGACAGCATTCTTGTATTCCTCCCAAGCAGTCAGCCCCTTCTTCCACCTATTGTAAACTCCCTTCTTCCACCTGAGCCTTTTCAGAAGGTCCCTGCTCAGCCAAGCAGGTCTCCTTCTCCCCTTGCCTGATTTCTTGCTCTTTGGGATGCGAACTTCCCTCTTATCTTTACAACGCGGTCCCAGAAAACGACGCTGAGCAGCTGCCCGTGGCTCTTGTTTGGTTTCACTCTCCGACGGCTCCAGCAGCAGAGAAAAACCCCGAAGCGCTGGTGGAGCCACGGCTTGTGCACGCCACCCTGTGAGCGCTCGGCCACCACACAGCGCAGCCCTGGCCATGCCAAACGCTCTCCCGCCTGCCTCCAGCAGCGACACGTTTTGGGGTTACCAGACCCACCTCTGCCAGAACAATTTTTTGTCTGTTTAAATAACATTTCAAGGCTCTGTCTATAAATACTGATAGCTGTGTAGTAGGAAGATCTTCTTCCTGGCTTGCATTAACCCCATGTGCCCTCCCACCACAAGCTGCTGCCGTTCCTGAGACAGCAGACTCTGAGATGCAGTTGATTGTGAGAACAAGAACGGCTGCACATTCTGCTTCGGTTGGACACAGAAACACACACTTACCGCTTAGATCATCACAGGATTTTTATAATTTAGACTAGTTAAACATTTGTCCTACTTTCAATATTCTTCATAATTCCTGTGGGTGGGAAATGATGCGGGCTTTTTAAAGATTTTGACCTTTCCTTATGCTGCCTTCCAGATGCCCACCACTTGGTCCGCATCTTGGTAGCAACCCTGGGCATGCGGTAGCAGCAGAAACCTTACCAGCGTTGCAGAGAGCAGACCGATTCCTTCACATACTGTGAAGTACAGCTCACTGTGCTGTGAGGTTTCTCTTCCTTGTAGGCATCAATGTTCATCTCAAGATAAGCTGTACCCCATTTCCCAAACTTTCTGAGATGTCCATTCAGGCATTTCTTACTCTTTTAGTCATGCAGTTGCCAAACCCACCTATGCAGAAAGACTACCATCAAGGGGTATTCCCCCACTCTCCTTTTTTAAGATTTTTGGTTCTATTAAAGAGTTCCAGGTACAGTGGCCCTTCTCTTCCAGTTTGCCTCAAGTTTAACAAGAATACTCTGGTTCTCTAGGGTAGCAATGACAAATTCTAAACATACTTAATCCACAAGAGGCTTAAAATAGCACTGTAGTGGGAAGCTAGGGTCTTGTGCTCATTTTCATATTTTGGAAAACCCACTGTTTCCTTGAGAAGAGAAACAAAAGGATTACTTTGATGGTTTGGTTGGGTTTTTTTTGTTTGTTTTTTTAGAAGCTCTGTTTGTTACCGAGTCAACTCCAGACTTTCAGCATAACAAACCACAAGTGGCAACTTGACAGGAATGCTACAAAGGCACAAATTGTGTTAGGAACATAAAACCTAATGAGGGATGCACAGCTGCTACTGGTTCCCAGAGATGGTCTTCCCCAGTAATTGCAATAGTCAGGCTAGTGAGAGGTATCGGGGTAGCCTGTAAGCAATTGTCATACTCGCCAACTTAGAGATGCTTCCTAGAAGCGGTTTTCATAGAGCAGGTATTTTCACTGACAACACTGGCTGCTTTGGATATAAGGCTTGTTCCTAAATACACAGTAGCAGCTAATAGGTATTACTGGGTATCCCTGCCCAATTCGAAACCACAATGAAATTTTTCTCCCCTCGAGACAACAACGGATCTCCAGTTGCATTTGTGGTTGTCCGTGCCACAGCAAGCTGCTAAACACCACCTCAGCCACTGAAAGAGGACAACTTCAGAAAGGATCATGGTCAAAGCATTACCTTTATAAGCTGTTTGTTGTGTCTCTACATATAGAGAGCTGTCACACAGTTCTGATGGTGAAACAGAGCAGGTGAGCACTTCTCAACCATGTTACTGCTAAGGCACGTAACCTATCTTAAGGCAAGTAGTTCAAATTGCTGCAAGAAAGTTTGGAGTGACTCAGTAGAAATGACATTGGAGCAGAGCTGACAGCTCTCTCAGAAATCATAGCGTTGACTGAGCTTTGGAAGCAGCAGCTACTGACACCCTGACACGAAGGAGTCTCAGCAACCTAAAAGTCCGCCATGCCTACAGCTTTTGCCTCATTTTTTGTGAAGTCTTTAACATAAGACATTGCAAGATACCTGCTTTCCCATTTGAGTCTGTAAAACTTGTGGTCTTCTAGGTGGAAGTAGTCAAGTGCAATTGTGGCTTCCTTTAGAGCTGTGTTAACAGGAACGCTAACAACCATCCTTTAACCACATGTATTCCTGTATCCCAGAAAAGGCAAAGACACCCTTCAGAGAAAGGACAGTGAAACCCTGGAACAGCTTGCAGAGAGGCTGTAGAATCCCCATCCTTGGAGATACTCCCTGTGTGACAGGCCAAGGCCCTGGGCAACTCAATGTAAATCTGAAGGGGCACTGCTCTAAGCAGAAGATTGGACCAATTGACCTCCAGACAACCCTCCAACCCGTATTAAACTACAGTTGTTTGAAACTTAACCCACTTAACCTGGTGTGTACTTACGAACTAGATCTGCTCCTGCCCTACACACGTGGGGCAGTCCTATTCCCAAACCCCAGAAGAGTACAATTCATAAGGACAGCAGGCAGTCTCTCTACGCATTTAAAGTATCCTCAAAGTTACAGAGCACGCTGGAGAAATTCTTCCGTAAGAGCCTTAAAAACTGATGAAAATTATTAATAAGAATTTGAAGCTTTTCTACGCAGTGCCTTCAATAGCTTCAGTTTTTCTGGCTTAATAGTGCCCAGTTCAGCCTAGATCAAATTAGCAACCAACTGCCTGAGTATCTAATTAAGTCACTGTAAACCTTTTCAATCAGTAGGGAAATCTAGCACTGCACTAGTACAGTTAGCATTAACATCTACTGTGCCCCTCCTCCAGTTTACTATTTGCTCTAGAATCCCCTCAAATTCTCTAATAAACTTTTATTTTCTTATTTTATGCGAAAGAACCGATTGCTTTACTTACCCTAATGACTGAGAACAAGCTGGCTTTAGCCACCTGAAACACGAGGCAATGCTGCAAGATTACTGAGTCTGAATCATCATTAACATATCTATGTTGATTTCATGGGCAGCAACATAAATACACAATCACTTGCTACTCACATTTGCATGCTTAGAAATTGTTATTCTTTTCAGGAAATATGAAGTTCCATTAAGCTGTAGCAGAGGAAAGTCAATGAAAAAAAAAACCTATTAGATGAAGGAGCCGAGTTCAGCTGAGACTACTTCTAAGCCCCTGAAGCTGCAGAGGACAATATCATCACCTCTACATAGTAAAAAACTGTCACCTTTGGATGGTGATCAGGAATCAGATTTCTTCTATTTCTAGATGTATTACAGTCAGCTTCCAGCAGCTGACAGCAAAGATACAGCAGAATCATCAAGTCCTCAACATTCATTTCCACACAGGTTTAATCTAACCCTAATCATTTATTGTAGGATTAATTTGCTCCACTAAAACAAGAAGAGGAAACTGCTATAATAAAGACAAGATACCACGTTCTCATAGAGATTCAGGGCATTTAACTCACCTTTGAAGTACTAACATAAACCACATACAAAGAGAAGAGGCTCACAACTCAAAGATCTGCATATTGATGAACTCAATGTACATTTACTGGAAGTAAAAAGCACTCTAATGTAGAACACATGAAACAGTCCAGAACACCACAGCGCAACGTAAAAACTGCTTTATTGATTGCAGTTAACATGTTAGAATTAAATTATGATTCCAAGCATTAAGCCAGCTGCTTATAATAAGTATAAGCTGCCATCATAGTCATGTGGAATTGGACGAAGAGATGCTAGTCACTGAGACATCTTGAACTGGAATCATTTCTGCTTCTTGGGCATTGAAGCGACAAGCAGCTCATAAACAACATAGGCTGTTCCTGAGTTAAGAGATAGAAAAAGATATTTTCAGAATGGTAAACAATTTCTTTCAAGTCCACATTTCCTTTCCCAGTTTATTCCAGAACAAATTTTGACGATAAGCAGCTGCAATTCAGACACAACACATTTCTCTAACCACATCTCAACGATTTTTTTTTGCACTTCATATTTTAGAGAAATAAATAAAAAAAAAATATCCTTAAATACCTCTCCATAGACTGCATAAAGATAAAGAAACAGAAAAAAGAGAGAAGACACATGTTTGTGGAACCTATACAGACAATCATAAAGTAATGGTTACTCATTCTTAAAGTAACTGAACTGAAAAAACATTACATCAACACATTTAAATTAGAGGCTATTACAAAACCATGTAACAAGCAATGCAAAGGTTAAATATATATATTATCATAAAGCCTGGATATATTCTGCTAGTTTTCACAGCATGTGAAACCTCAGCACATCAAGCACGACAGAGAGTCAGGCTAGTGACAAAACTGGTATATGCATGTGCTATAATTACATGTTACTCCTTTTCAGAATAAGCTTTCTAAGTAGTTCTAGTTTTCTCTATTATCATAAATGAATTCTGAAGGAGTATTCAGCCCATAGTACTTGGCTATGTCAGGGGAAAAGAAGCCATCTGAAAAGCTAACTTTGAGAAAGCACAAATAAATACATAGCATGTCCAAATGTTTTCTTCCCCTGCCTACATGCATTTTGCATGTTCTAAAGAAGAGACTGAAGGAATTGCATAACTAATTTATAGAGGAAATGCCAGTCATGTTGGAGATTGTACCAAAGGAAAAGTATTTTAACATTAGCACATTGGAAATTGTACCAAAGCATAAACATTTTAGTATTAGTCTTACCAAAAACTGTAAGACCCATGGTGACTCTATACAACATAGAATCCATCACACCACCTTTAAGATGCACTGGGATGCCATTATCCTCCTAATGGAAACAAGTGACAGAAATAAACTATTTAAATACAGTTCTTGCAATACTGTGTCAATATAACCTAGAATTAGCCGGAACAAGAATTGCTTCCCCAAATTATCTTCCCAACTCCCAAAAGACACCCAACCTTATTTAGATTCCGCTTTGTCTTTCAAGCTTTCACTCTCGTATCAGGTGATAACTCACTAGGGAAATACAGTAAATGATGTGCAAATTCATTTCTAGAGATGTGATTGACAGATGCCTGAACACTTCTGAAAGCAGCTGCCAGCCCCCTTGGGTGCACAGGGTATGATTATCACTCCTAGAAACTTCCCATCTGTCTCCAGCATAATCACTCCCTGCTACAGGGAGTGGCAAGGGGAGGAGCCTCTACTGTCACCTGGTGTCACACAGGAAAATGTGTTGCTCCACCTGAAGTAGAACTCCTAGACACCAGATTCATGTGATCTTTACCCTTGTCAGGGAGTTCATACTGCTCTGGAATTGAAGCCTGCATCCAGTGTTGGTGACCTGCGACCCAGCCCAGCTTAACTTGTTCCCCACAAGAAAGGAATGGGAGGAGGAAGAGATATGCTTAGAGATCTCTGTCAGCAGAAACAGAATCTCTGACCTCACCCATCACCAACAACCCGCTTCCCCTTGGCTCACAAGGAACACTGTGCTCCTTAGACAGTGTCCCAACAAGACTGGCTTTCTCTTTCAGAGAAAAGGAAAGCAACAAGACACAAAAACTATTAAACTGGGGCTTCTAAAATACTTTCTTCCCTTTCACATCGCTGAAGCCCAGTCTACTCTACTCTAAGAACAAAGCTGCTGCTCCAGGTCATGGCTCACAGCTGGGGGAGTGTGCTCTTGAGTATCCACTGCTTTGGCATTTGAAGAACCACTAGCTCTCACTAGGTGGCCCTATCAACCAGGAAGAGATTCATTCAGAATTACTTTTAAAGATTCAATAGTTTTCTAGGAGTGAATCCAATCCTTTAAGACTTTACTGTTTTAATAACTGAGAAGTACAGTACCACCACGTCCTCATTAAGAATTACAGGGCTTATCTATGAGCTATGGATATAGCTGTGAGATTGGAGGTTAAACTGTACTTGTGTCCTCTCACTTGCTGTTTTTCTGTATTTCTTCTCAGGACATACTCCCCCATCTCAGTCTGTTTCAAAGTACTTTGTCTGTATACTTGTACAGTGCCCACTACTCATAAGAAACTCAGGTAAAAATCATTTCACAGGGCAAAAAGCCCTAAAGAGTCAGCAAGTCAAGTGATCTTAGTATCTGCAGAAAACAACTGCTGATTTCAAACACTGTAGTCATACAACTGATTTCAAGAAGTCACCTCAATTGTAAAGAGAGCTTTCACCGGCTCTTTATAAACAAAATGTATGCAATTATGAGCTACTAGAACTTTGTCATTCTACTAACATTATTCTACTATCAGTGCTCTCACTCAATACCTGAAAAAGTTTCTGCTTCTCAGGAACTCTATTTTCAAACTGCCTGCGTGAAGCAGTGCTTATGGTCCTCTGGGAAATTTGGCGAAGGCCCTGAAATAAAAGATAAAACAGTGTTTTAAAAACAGTTAATTTTTTCAGCTATATCCACACTGGAGTAGAAATATTTTCTTTTAGAAGTAAGACAGAAGTGGAAGGGACAAGGAGAAGAGAAAGGCTCAAAAAAAAGCCAACAAAAACTAAAATAAAACTTCACCACAACCCATTTTTTAAGTCAATCAGTCTTTTAAAAGACTACATAAAAAGCTGATTACCTGGTTACCGAAAAAGAGAAAACTCAAAATAATTACTTTTGTTAAGATAAGTGAAGCATAATCTTCATAATTAGCATCCTTTTGGGGGAAATCTCAACCTCAGCCCCTCAGGTGTCTCTTTTAGGCACAGATTTTTTGTGTCTAATTCTAGTGATAGGGGCAATAATACTTAAGGCAAACATGTTTGTGCGGATGAGGATCTTCTCTCAGCTGCAGTTCACCTGCTAGCCACCTGCACAGGAGCTAACCTTCACAGACCTGAAGGAGACATACACACTCCCCCCAAGAGGCACATGCACATAAGAGTTTAAAGACATCCTGCTGCATCCTATGCTAAAATCAGTTTCTGTACTCAGATCACATAGGGGCTTGTTAGCACAGGTCAGGCAAAGAAAACCAGCAATCTACGATTCTTCGGATAGCTCCAAGTCTGCTCCCGTTAACATGTCAAGTCCCAAAGCGAAGAACCAGCTGTATCTCTAAGCTGCCAACAGTCTCCTTCAAGCAACATTGATCCTCCCCCACAAAATTACCACCACTAAAAACGCAGCCACGGGGCAAACACCCAGATGATGCTGACTGCAAGTAAAGGAACCACACACCTCCTCCCCTCACTCCCCCCCCC